TTCACAAAATACTTTCTAAGACCAAAGTCCATAAGTTTAGTACCTGTTTTATTCTATGTAATCTATTGTTTCAGGTCTATGTTGAGGTCTTTGATACATTTTTACTTCATTTTTGTGTATGGGGACAAACAGCAGCCTAGTTTCATTGTTTTGCATGTGGCTTTCCAGTTTTCCCATCACCATGTATTGAAGAAGTTTTCTTTTCTCCATTGTATGTTTTTGGTTCCTTTGTCAGAAATTAATTTGTCCATATACATGTGAGTTTATTTCTGGACTCTCAATTCTGTCTCATTAGCCTGTGTGTCTGTGGTACATACATATAATGGAATACTTACTATTCAGGTATAAGAAAAGGTCAAATACTGCCATTTGCAACAACTTGGATGGATCTTGAGAATATCATGCTAAGCAAAATAAGTCAGACAGAAAAAGGCAAGAACCATACAACTTCACTCATATGTGGGATATAAAACTAAAACCAGCAAATGAACAAATTAAATAAACAAAAACTCATACACAGACAACAGTATGGTGGTTAGCAGAGGGACGGAGTAGGAGAGAGGAGTAAAGGGTAAATGGAGTCAAATATATGGTGCTGGAAAAAGATTTGACTTTGGGTGGTGGGCACACAATGTAATATACAAATGATGTATCATAGATTATACAACTGAATCCAATATAGTCTTATTAACCAATGTCACCTCAATAAATTTAAAGTTTTAAATTAATTAATTAAAAATAAATAAAAGTATTTTGCTTGTATTTCATCTAGAATTTCTAGATGTTTATAGAACATAATCTGAAAACAAAATATGCCTTTAATTTCTAATTCTGACAGGATGGTAAATGAACATAATCTGAACATTTAACTTAGTTTATCATCGTGCCAGAACTAAAAGTCAAAAAGGCATATTCTTTCACACATTTCTTCCCAAGATCCCAGCCTATTTGTTGTTAATGAATATGATCAACAATGAAAGCAATGTTTTCTATTTAAAATATTTCCAGGATAAGTGTCAAAAGACAAAGGAGATTCCGAATGTGTCTACCAAGGAATTGTTCAAAATCTTCAAGCAAGATACTCAAAATTAATGAGCCTAAATTTAGAGTCTATAATTTAATTTAATTTAATATGATTCTAACAGTAACTTAAATAGGGAGTTGTTATTACCTCATTTTACATGAGGGGACTGAAGCTTAGATCTGTCAGTTAACTCATTATATTTGACCACCTTAAAATACAGAAAAACCAATGTTAAGAAGTGGAAATATTTGGGACAAAATCCAAGCAACAGTGTCCAGATGTGGTACTATGCAAGTCTGAGTCATACACCTTTGGGCTCACCAATATATTTTCTGCCTCCTTCAGGAGCCTTCTCAAACCCCGTAAGCAACTTTGTAACCTTAGCATCCCAGTGTTTGCCTTCTGGCCCAGCCCGTTGCCAAAGGGAAGCCACCTTTGATGCTGAAACTTCATACCCTTATTCCAAGGTCCATTAGCAATGTTACCTTACAAATGTGAAATGCAAATATTTCCTCAGCAGACTCAGTGCTTCTCCTGTAATTAAAACTTGCCCATTAATTTAGTCAATGCCTTCTCAGTCCTCTTTCTACATAGAAATAGATGCCCATCTCTTCCCAGTTAGCATTTCTAAGATGCCCTGCACGCTCACACAACCACACAACTCTATGAAACCGATTTCTCCTACTCATGGTGCAAGGATAGAGATGACCCTGTCTTGGACTTGTATTTTAAAACTAATGACATATATATCTTAAATCTCCTCAAATCGATTATATGCACAATGTGCATATATGTGTTTTTGTGTGTCTATTCCTATTATTAAAAATTTTGCATTACTTGAAAACTTGCTGTTTCAACTGTCAGTCTCCCACAAACTGCTAGCAGAGTGACTGGCAGGCAGAATTGTGTGGTTAGTGAAAAAACTTGCTGTTATTGGGTAGAGCCCAATGGAATGAACAAGACTTTGAGAAACAGCATTTTTATTCTGAAATCAAACAGCCTCAGATGACTTCTCTATACTGTCAAGTTTTAGAGGTTTTGGTGCTTTTCTTGTTTTTGTTTTTGTCCTGAATTTTGTACTGTTCCTATATGTGCTGGATGTGAAATAGCCTAGTGTATTTCTTTGGGGACACAGGACTTTGCTAGGAGATACCAAGGGATGGATGTAATTCAGTGACATTTTGTCAGGCTGTTAAAGAGTAAATTTTCCTTGACTGTGGCAGGAGGTAATTATTTTTGTTTGTTTGCTTCTGACACAGAGGAAGAAAATTTAGGGTTGTTATTTCAACTATTCCAAGATACTTTTTGTTCTGTTTGGCAGGAAGGGGGAAAAAAAGCATTTTCTTCTTGGAGGAATAACCAGCCTCTGCTTCCCCTACAGACTGGATGCACGTTTTAACACCATGAACCGTTTCTCAGCCCCAGTCTCTCAGGGAGTTCTTCCTTCTCCCTGAATGGGCCTCCTCTCCTCCTGCCATTTGATCTGTAGCACACTCTGTGGGAAGATTCAGCAGCATGCATGCACTACCCTGAGAGCAAACAGCATAGATGTGGCTTCTGCACTCAGAGTTCACACCATGATGGGGGGATACAGGGGTGGACATCCAAACCAATAATAACAATAACCAAAATACTTACATCATCATTCAGTGTAAAACAGCTATTTATGCAGATGATTCTAGAAAGCAAGCTCTTTGAATAATATTTTTGTAGCCTAGCTTTCCATCCTTTAAAATTTTAGGTACTTAATTAAAATGCACCAAAGAATGTATTGCCTATTCAGTTCTGATTGGATCCTCTTAAAAATTATTAACTACAATCTTAGCTAACACCATATTCCTGAAATTTCTCTGAGGTAAATGGTGAGAACCAAGACCTCAGCTCAGGAGCTGAACTGTGCCTGCTGCCCCCTTGGTACCTGTCCTCGATGTCTGGCTCTGTGGAGGCAACGGGCTCCCCAGGGGAAGTCCTCGCCACATCCGCCCTGACTAACCCCTCTCAAATGTGTCTCACACTTCTTAACAAGGCCTTGGGGATGACTCATTAGAGGAAAAAAATTGTTAACCTACATTGTTCTCAAGCAAGGTTAATTCAAAAGTTATCTGAAATATGAGCATTTGTCATATATATTAAAATGAAAGTCCACTGGGTAAGAATTTATGGGCTTCACTATCAAAGAGACAGAATAATTATAACAGTAATAATAAAAGAAGCTCCTGAGCTCTTACTATGTATTGGCACTATGCATTTCCAAGAGTATTATCTCAGCCATTCCTTACGATGCCACTGGTAGGCAGGTGTCACGACCCCCATTTCACAGGTGAGCCAACTGAGGCTTGGTTCCTCAGTGATTCCTGTCAGCCAAGGATACCTTGTCCTTTAGGAAGAATTTTTTCACAGGAAGAGTTCAAGTCCTTGTTCCCAAAGGACTTTCAGTGTCACCACCACCATCACTACCAATTCAACAAACTATGTCTGACACTGGCAGTGGACACAGATTAGTGTCAAGCTGTGACCTTGACTAACCCTCTATGGCCACCAATAGTAGGCTGTTTTTGTTTTTAACTCCTATCAACTTCCAAACAGCAAGGAGTTGGGGGAAAACATCCCAGTCCTCTAAAGGTCTTAGATATCTAAAAGGTAAAGGTGGTGAAAAACAGAGATTAAAAATCTCTTCTGTTTTTTTTTTTTTTCCTCAACTATGGGAGGTAAATAATGACATCCTAGGTTTGCAGTTTTGTTTTCTTTTTATTAATTTATTTTTGTTACTGGCGTTTCTCATCTTTTAAACCTACTTTACAAAGTTGCTCATTTTTACAGCTACACTTTCCATTTTGATTTCAATTGTTCATCCAGTGGCCAGAATAAATGCAATATATTACCTGGGGAATACATTTATGAGAAAAACATATTGCCACCCTTAATGAAATACCACACACTAAAATTAACTAAAAGGATACCTTTTAACACAAAACCTAAGGGAAAATGGGGAAGGAAAGCACACTCCTATCTATTTTGGAGGAAAATTATTTTCTTCTTAAAAATCACTCTGTGATATCTATGTTGACTCTTATACTGTTTGTTTTAGTCATTCAAATTAATAGTGTAAAGGCAATTCTGAACCTGTGGGCAGTCTGTGCTCATGCCCAGCATCCAATGCACCATCATGTAATAAGGGTTCCGGGACTAACCCCACCCCTTTCTTTATTTTCCCTGGGCTGGAGCTCCCTGGAAGACATAATCTGTCCAGGGCTGATGCCCCACAGAGAGCTGAGCTCTCCCTCACTGCTTCCACAGGTAACTTCTTCTCTTACCTCTACTTATCCCTGCCTTCAGGACAGCCCTCTAATCTTACCTACTGCTTCCTCCCTCCCCCAACACACTGTCTTCTCCAATCCCTTTGCATGGTAAGCACACTGCCCTATATTCATAATATATTTTCTAACAATTCTTCCAACATCTTCTCTTACCTAAAGCTTGGCTCTCACCTAAAATCAGTGTCCCTGATTGCCTACACACAGGAAAAATAAACACAAAAATACACAATTCAAAATACACATTATACACAAAATACGTATATTAGTGATCTCTTAATTGTAAATCCTGAAATGGTGAGAAACTATACCAAGAATCTGTAATATGTGTTATTGATATATAAAGATGACATTTCTATTTTACACAGGACTTACGGTGTCTATGTAAGGTCCACTGCGCAGTGCTTGGCACATAGGGGTGGTTATGGGGTACTTGCGGAAGGAAGGAAGGAAGGAAGGAAGGAAGGAAGGAAGGAAGGAAGGAAGGAAGGAAGGAAGGAAGGAAGGAAGGGAGGGAGGGAGGGAGGAAGGGAGGGAGGAAGGAAGGGAGGGAGGGAGGGAGGGAGGGAGGAAGGAAGATGGATAGAAATGAAAAGTCAGAGAGATAGGGAGAGCAGGGAAGCTAAATAAAAAGTGATATATATCCAAAAAGACCAACTTACCACATAAAGGTTTTCATGGAAATACAGCCCCACATCATAAAAGTTTCCATCATGCCTCACTGGGTGGGTTCTAGTCTTCAGTTGCTCTGTTTGCCACCAATGCAAGACACGACCGCCTGGTTGGCTAAGCAGGGACACTTTAAGGAGGTAAGAGCCTTGGGGAGCCTTGTTCTTCAAGCCCCTTATGCATTTCATTTGTATTTGAAGAGGCTGAGGAGACTGACACTGTTCAACCTAAAGAAAAGACAGGGTTCTTGAATTACACAGGAACTGGGTAAAACCACACAATTAGCCCCAATGCTTTTCTCAGAGGGAAAAAGTAGACAATTATTTTTACTCAACGTGTAATTGTAAGGTATTAGCAATGATAACAGAGGAAGACACACAATCTATAATTAGGGGGTCAAAAGGCAAGCCTGCTGATTATGTGAGGGAAAGTTTAGCCAGTTTTTAAGCATGGTATGTTAATGATCTGTGACATCAGAAACCATTCATCTATTATAATAAGAAAGAATTAACAGGAAACCAACACTTCTGAAAAACCACACAGCATGCCTAAAATATCTGGGATGGGTGAACATGAGCAGTAAGCTTCAAATTCTGGGTTTGAAAGGTGACAGCCACTGCCTCTAACACTAATCACGGACCAAATGCCACAATGATGAGTAAAGTGCAAAACAGGTCAGACTTACACCTCACCAGACTGAATACTTGATTTGATTTAAATGTGAGGTCAACTTGGCCCATATGCTTCAAAGGAAGAGTCAAAAAAAATAAAGTGGGGTGCATAGCATTGGTATGTGCCTCAGCCTAAAACTCAGTCTAAATTACATGTAACTGAAGAACATGACTCAAGAATATTTTACAGGACAGCTGGATTGCAGTGCTCACCTTCAGCTAGAGAAAGGGGCCATTTTTATTTTTAATAAGTGTTAAAAAGTTTATACAAAATTGATAAGATTGTTGATGGACTATTATTTCAGATTAAACAAAAATTAAACTGGGATCATTAATAACTCAAACATCATTAAGTCATGTTTTCTATACTCACAAGTCCCTGAGAATCTTCAGAATAATTCTCTATTCTGACTTTGAAGAATTCTCTATTATATTGTGCTTTAAACAAATGGCATATATATAAAATGTCATTTTTGGAAGCAGGTTACTTACTCTCTTGGCTACCTGAGTTTTAGCACCATTCATTAATCTACAGCAACAGTAAGCACTTTTTAATCCCACCTAGACTTTATTTTGTGAAAGATAATATATATTTCTATACAGCTAGTACACTTCTGTAATGAAACCACAGTTAAATAAACAGTGAAAGTTGTTCAACTTCTCCAGTATTTTCATACAAGTCATACTTGAAAACTAATCAGAATAACAATTATTTTTAGTTTAATTAGAAAATCTTAATTAACAATGAAGACTTAACCTTAATATTTTGGTTTCCAAAAATATTTTTAAAATTAACACTATGTGAATAAATAAGACAATCTCTTTAAACCTCAAGGCAGGATTACGGATGCAGGCAGACTGAGTTATTAAACACATTCTAAATTAAACGCCTCTATGAATTTTATACTAAAATATATTGTGATAGTTTTGCATGCCAAATGTGACATTTTGTATTTTAGATTCATCTTCTGTAGTAATTTTGGAAATGTCATACAAACAAAGATTTTGTCATTTACCAATGGAATTACTATGCATGGCCGCTTAGCCATCTCTTCGCTGGCTCTTGTGGTTGTTTCAAGTCAGCAAGCCATAAAAAATCTTTATCTCTCTGAAACACAGCAATTTGGAAGATAATCGAATAGTGACTAGGGGGCACAAATGCCAGTCTGAGGAATTATACTACAATCTCTCTTGCATTTACAACCTTCCTCAAAGCGAGTGTCAGACAAGTAGGAAAAGGAGATAGAAGATTCATCAAATCTCAAGCCTTGTCTCATTTGCATGGGGGCAGGCCTGCCTCACTGTCTAGTGAGAACCCAGCCTGGTACAATGGACCAGGGATTCCAACTGCTTTGCAATCGAGAGTTTTAGCCATCCCGCTTCAGCATAGAATTCTCCTCAAAAATATTGAAGATCTGCTGAAAATCTGTTTCTCTAAAGGGCCCTACAGGAAGAAAAGCACAACAGGAAAGTGAGTCAATACAACTGACCTCATCATTTAACGTTTCGCATCAGAGAAAAAGGAAGCCAGGAGAGTCTCACCTTCAAGCAAGGTCCCGCTGCTCCCTTTGGGTCAGAAGTTCCTTCTGTGACAGCACTGTCTTCTTGACAGACATTTAGGTCTGCAATTAATGGCTGACTTGGAGCTCTGCAGCAGTTATAAGAAGGAAGATAAGAGAAAGAGAAATTAACACTAGGGTATAATGAAAAGGTTTGCCTTTGGAACCACAACACAGTTTGATGTTTTCTTTAAACATTTTGTCAGATTCACTGGGAATTAGATAAATAACACATTGCAGATGCTGCATTTGAATAAAGTCGGGAGGTGAGTAGTTTTGCAAATGTGACCCTATAAAATATAGGACTCACTATATTAACTACTGATCTCACAACAATTAAAATGTGGCTTGTTTCAGAAATTACCAGAACAGCAAATATTTATTAAGACTGGCTGCCAATTCATTTTCTACTGCACCCTTTCCGTCTTATAAATTGATAGAGAAACTCTAGGGGAAAAAATCATTTAAATAGATGAATAGCTGATATGATATACACTTTTCCTTTTTTAAATCGGTGGCAAGAGATCAAGAACTATTTCTACCTGTACAACATTCCCCGGGCTTTTTTTCACGTTTGGTTTTTTTCGAGGTTTGTTGTTTCTTTTTATTTTTGTTTTGTTTTGCCTCACAGGAACTAATCACGTTTGCCTGCTTGCCCAAATTCATTTGAATTAAGAAGGGTCTTGTGTTCCACTTCTCCTGACTTGAGCTTAATTCCATGAGCAGGGCCATCTGTGACAATGACTATACCCCCACCAGAGGAATGGCCTTTTTGGATCTCACAGCTGATTTAGTTTGCTGTAATAGAAATTATTTCCCTTAATTTGGTTAGAGCTACACTGACACAAGGGTTCATTAGGACACCCATTTGCCAGCAATTCAATTTCAAATTAAATACACTTTGTTGTAAATTTTATTACTTTTAAACTACTGTATCTATTGTCTTTAATGGCCCTATTATACAGTTATGAAGGTAAACAGAGTTCATTAGTAAACATAAACATGTTATGTTAACCACAGTAAGAGAGTTTCCTCAGTTTCTTTCTTTGTTCCCTTGACAGACATTGTAAGACACTCATGAAATATCCTAAAAATGGAATAATTAAATGCTGAATTCATACGCATCATTCTAAGGGGAAAAAAAAAACAAGGTTCTTGGTTGCAATTCCAGTTCTTTGTAACTAAATATTTTCTAAAACTACTTTCCTTTTCAAAAGGAACATAATGTAGCTTTCACATGATGCCAGGCACCTAGAGGTAAACCTAGCAAGGTGTGTCTGGGGAGCAGGCATGCCCCAAACCAGGAGTCAGACCAGACCTCAGCTCAGTTTGGATCTAGGTCCCATGGCATCTTTTTTTTCTCTCCTTCCATATAGCATTTATATACTTATTCTTCACATATGGGTAGCTAGACATGCGTTTTTCCCTTTATAACACGAGGTTGATGCTGTAAATATTATTTTGTAACCTCTGTTTCCCACTTTGTATACTATGAGCATTTTCAATGAAATTAATTTTTTTTTCTACAGCATAAATTTTAGTAATGACCTAGCATTTAATTCTAAGGTTATACCATCATTTATTTAATAAGTTGTTATTGTTGGATATTTAGGTTAGTTCCAATTTTCACTGTCATAAGTTAGCCTATAATTAGCTGTCCTGTACACAAAGTCTTTTAGATATCCCTGGCCATTTCCCTGGTATAAAGTCCTATCATTAGAAATGTTGGGCATGGGAGACATGCTATTCTACACCTCACTGATCTTGACCTTGAGCATTAAAATGGCACTTCAGCAATATAGAATCTTGTTCAAATGGCCTATTCTCTTGGGCACTGAAGAGTCTTCACAGAGAGACAGGTCCTGCTCCAGCTAACCCCTTCTTTTTATTGCTAGCATAATTACAGGTTAAGTAAAATGACGATGAATAGAGAGCCCTGATGTAGAACAGGGTCTCTCAACCTCTGCACTATTTGCATTTTGAACCACATAATTTTTTGTTGTAGAAGCCAGTCTGTGCTTTGCACAATGTTTAGTAAGATTTCTGACCTCTTCCCAACAGATGCCATTAACAGACCCTCCCTAGTCCTAGTCAGGACACTCAAAATGTCTCCAGACTGCCACATGTCCTCTACGGGCAAAATGGATCCCTGTTGAGAAACACTGATGGACAGTATTAATTAGTATTTAATGATTGCTTAGCATGCTCAAGGCAAACTTTTAAATACATTATATTTATTATTTCATTTAATCCTTAAAATAATCCAACAAGATTTTATTATTCTTGCTTACTTGAAGAGAAACTGAGGCTGATGCAGGCTTAACATCTTGTTCCAGCCCTTGTCTCATAAGACAGGTAAAGCTTGAGGTTCAAAGTGAGACCATCTAACGTGAGAATCCCTCAGACCCTACACCCAATACTGCTGCCTCTGCTCGACCAGCAGGGAGGAGCAGCAACTGCCACAGCTGGATCTTGGAAGCTCCTACACTGGGCCAAGGATTTAAGTATTTTTTTCAGAGATAAATAAGACATGACTCCCAGCTATATCCCCATTACTATAATGTCCCATCCCCAAACTGTCATATATGGATGATGGGGTAAAAATATATCCCAGGAGGAAATAAGATCATGGTTCCCACAAACCTGACCCTTCAGGCAAATCAAAGTAGGAAGTGACTGTCACCTATAATTGACTCATATTTAATCCATAGCGAAACAAATAAAATGCATTAAATCTACCATTAAGGAACGTACTTCTTAAATGTTTTGTCAGTCTTTAAACATGACATGGGAATGTACTGATTGAGTTCTTCCCCTTCAAATTTCAAATCCTGCATGAAAGAAAACAGAAGTAAAATTAACTTGATTCAAAACACATTTGACACGTCTTTGTAAAAGTTGGCTTTTCTAAAATCAGGATATACTGACTCTTAAAGGTTAAGGTTCTAGGAGACAAATAGGAATTATCTTTAGCAGCCACATTATTATAGAATCTGACTTTTCTCCCTCAGCTTAGGTACTTTTTGGCCAGAAAGGTGAAGAAAATAGTAAATAATGTTTAAAAAGAGGGCGAATTTATTTAGTGGATACCAAAACAGCTGTTCTTGTTTGTTTTTTGTGTGTTTTTTTGTCTCTTTCTCTAATGCACACATACATCCACACAATGGTACAGCTTAACAAAATGTAAATGGACATATGGCTGAATGAGTGGGATTCTAAATATGCTAATAATAATTGGGATCATAGATTATATAATGTATCATCCAATCCAGGACATTTTGGAAGTAAAGGGGTAAATTTCATTATTCTAGGACAACAGGCATAACCTAGGATTATCCCATGCAGACTAGAATATATAGTAACCTTATTAATAATATTCCTCCAGATGTTCTGAAAGCACATATCACTGTATTTAGTGAAGGTGAATGACAAAGAGAGAGACAGAGACAAAGAGAGAGAGAGAGAAAAAAAAGAACAAACTAAGATTAGAAGCTGCAGTTTTGTATAACCTAAACTTGGAAATAACATACCATCATTTCTTCTATAAGATATTGGTCACACAGATCAACTGTGGTACAGTAGGTTTGGGAACTACACCAATATTTGAATAACAGGAGGCCAGGATCATGGGTGCATAGCAATTACGAAACCCAGAAAAGCAAATGGTGCCTGTTCCTAAATTAAGTCTCAAGATCTGAGAATAATTCCCCATGGTTCTGTCTTCTGGACTCTTGGCTCCACATTCTAAATCGTCCTTCCTTTTTCATGAAGGAGCAAATATTTGCAGCTAAGCAGTTTTCTCGGCCTGCTTCTTGCCAATAGAATTTGGGAGCCCAAAGGCCTTTTTTCATTTTGTTCTTTCTCTGTCCCTTTTGGTCCAAGCAGGTGACATTTCTGCTTATATCATTCCACTTAAAACCTTCTAGGTCTTCTTTGAATCTTATTTGAGTCAGTAGACAAAAATCAAGCTCACAAATCTCTTCCAGATAAGACCTTCTGTGTCACTGACAGGATGAGGGGTGATGACCTCAAGCCCCCTAGAAAGCCTACTGTGATTCAGAGGAACTGTGAGGCAAACTCTTAATCTCTTTAGCATGCCTTTTGTCTGAGTGGATAGGATTCTGAGGCATTCCCTTTGATATTTCTGAAGCCTTAACAAAAGATGTGACTGTCATACTCTTGGTGTCAATCTTGAACCATTTTCCTGGCAGCTGATCTTTGCTCAAAAGCCACATCTTCATTTTCGCACTGTCTACCATCTCGGGAGGCCGAGGATTTTCAACACCATCAAGTCGGTGACTCACTTTGCTTAATAGTCCTTCCTTTAATTTATCTCTCTTCCCTCACATTTTACAATAAGCAGCAAGAGGAAACCAGGCAGCATTCACAATCCTCTGGTTAGAAATCTTCTTCGCTGGATCACACAACTCATTAGGTACTTTTTCTACTTTCCACATAACTACAGGCAACCATGTTGCTAAACTCTCTAACAGTCCCTAAAAAAGATTTCCTTTCCTCCAGTTTCTAATAAGATTTTCCACACTTTCCTATAAGCCCTCACTTCACACCTTTCTCAAAGATCATGAGGTATCTAGTAACATCTTCAAGGTCCTTCAGCCTTCACCAACACTCTCCTCACCATCCACTGCACAGTGCCAATGCCATGCTCGCATTTTATGTTTTATTATGGCAACACTCCACTTCCAGGTACCAAAATTTGCATTAGTTATTTACTGCTCCAGAACAAATTATCCCAAAACTTAACCAGCTTAAAACAGCAAACATTTACTATCAATTTCTGAGGATCAAAAGCCCAGGTACCACTTAGCTGGGTTTTCCTAGCTCAGGATGTCCCATGAGGCTGTAACCAAGCTGTCAGATGGGACTGCAGTCATCTCAAGGGTCAACTGAGGCTGGAGGATCTGTTTCCAAGCTTAGTCATATGTTTGTCAGCAGGCCTCAGTTTCTTGCTAACTGTCGGTCAGAAGCCTTGGTTTCTCACCACGTGGCCCTTTCCATAAGCTGCTCACGCAGGGCAGCTTGCTCATTCCAGAGTGAGAGATGAAATATTTCAATGAGAAAGCCTCCATGCATATCCATGAAAAAATACACAAAAATCCAAAAGACTGTAATATATTGACAGAGAGAAGAAAACTTGCCAGGGTCATGTCAGCAATAGATGTCATGTTATACATTGTGCTTGGCTGGGCTAAGTAAATTTCTCAACAGGACTCAGCCAAAAGGGCCTCTAAAATAGATACGTGAGATCAAATAAAACAGTCTGATCCTATTGAGTATATATTTTCTAACTTATCACATACCAGTTACAGTAAGATTGCATAGTACTGTGGTAGGTAGACAGACATGAGCAGAGCAAGGACAATGGGCCAGGTACAGAACACCAGGGCAGAAAGCCCGAGATACCTAGTAATGGGCAAAACTGGGAAAACATAGATCTTGCCCCGAGGGTAATCTTTCCTCCCCTAGCATATCACTGGTCATGTGGTTTAGACCCCTGACCTTTCATATCACTAGTCATGCAGGTCAGACCCTCCCTTGACCTTTTCTCCCTGGATGTAGTTAGTCAAGTAGTAGACTCCCTTGGAGGAAGAACAAGAGGTCAAAAAGTGGTCTCATGTGACTCCATTGCAGGTCCTTGCGTGACCACTCCCTTTAGCATTAACCCCTCTGGATAACATCTAGGCCTCTGTTGTGTTTCAGCTCCAGGCCCAGAAAAGCAGCAAAACCAGACAAATGATGCCATGGCTGACCTCAGAACCAGCTGCACTGACTAATGACCCCCTGCCTTGGCACCAACCACTCAGTGGAGACCATGACCCCGAAAGGACACACCTGGAAAGCTGATGAATATTGTATTGAGATCCTCCCTTGGCACCTCCCCAAAAGTCCCCCCTTCCCTAAAAGTCCTTAGGACCAAAGACCCAGTACCTCTCCCTCTTCGGAGCACTCTCACACCTTTCCCATCCTCCTCCTCTTCCCCCCAGGTGCACTACCTTCACCTTTCTCTTTCTCCTAAGTTCCAAGGGCGCTTCTTTTGCCTCTGTAACTTGTTTCCTGAACCCATTTCTTCTGTAACTCCCTTCTTCTACCTCTGTGGCTTTCTAAATAAATGTTTTCTTACAGTTTGAGTCTTGGCTCTGAATTCTGTCTTAGCCAGGACTCAAGTACTGAGGTTGCTGAACGGAGGTCTGATCCCTAGTGTTGTTCTCACCACCAACAATATCAATGCTAATCCAGATTTATTGAGCACTTATACCATACTAGGTATTATACTTCATTCATTCTCTCATTCCACAGACATTTATTGTGGGTTTGCTTTATGCCAGACACTGTGCTAGAAGCCAGGGATATAGCAGTATACAAAAAAGCCGACTATACCTAATATTAAAAGCTGTCTCTCTGGTGGACAGGATAAATAAAACAAATAAACATGAGACAAGTATGGTAAACACAGTGGAGGAAACAATACAAGAAATACTGTAGAGACTAACTTTAGGGGACAAGTTTGTGGGGAAGGTGGTCAGGGAAGACAGTGAATTTGAAAATGAGAACTGAGGACAAGAACAGCTTAGTAATCCAGAGAGTGGAAGAAATTGATTGTTCCAGGCAGAGAACACTAAGCATGTCAAGGTCCTGAAGTAGGACAGTTTTGCATGTTAAGAAAAAAAGCCTGAAAGAAGAGCATTGTGACTTCAGTACTGCCACCAGGGAAGAGTACTGGGGAGCTGGGTTGGAGACAAATCAAGCCTGATCCCACTGGACCTGCAGGTAATGTTAACAAATCTACATGTTCCATGCAATTGGGAAGCCCTAAAGGGCTTAAGAAAATGAATATTGTCTGATTTATATATAACTGGTGATGAAATTTTAAGTGTGTGTTTATTTATTTCTCTCTTTTATAAATCATGTTTCTCAGCCAAATTCAGCTAGTATAGCTCTGGATAATCAGAAAGGACATTAGAAAGAAGTCACAACCAGAAAGAAAGAAGTGGGGAACCTTCCCCCTTTTGTAACCAGTGGATTGAAATGAGAAGGTAAAAGAGAAGCATGCAGTCAGTTGTACATATATCCTCACTTCTCCTCGCCCCAACTCTTTCTTTCCAAGGCAGAACTCCCGCAGGAGTTGCAGAAGTTCGAGGAGGAATTCAGGAGCACAGGGGTTCTGGGGGCTTCCAGCCGACACGGAGAAGAGGCCCTGCTCCGTGTTACCCAGACTACCAACACAGCGGGTGTGACGCCACCAGTTAGAGCCACGTGGGTGCTTTGCTGCCTTCATCACAGAGGAAGCCCAAGTTCAGTATCTGCAGCAACGCGGATCCCAGTAGAAACAGGGGCTTTCTCAAAAGTAGATTATTGCAGGAGCAACATTTATTTACAAAAGGATTATTACAAAGCTGTGGATTTACGAGTAGGTTGTTTCTACCACTAGGCGTGAAGGGATGAGGAAGCAGAGTAGTCACCAGACCCTGGAAACAGACAGTATGTAGTCTTCAGCCTTGAGTAGAACAGAGATCATGTGTGGAAGGATAGAGCCAGCTCAATGCAGCCTTAACCTCAGGGGGAGGGAAGAACTATATTATCAACGTAGCAGCTAGTTATTAATATAAGGAAGAAAGCAAAAGGGAACTAGATAATCTTAATAAACTGGGAGGCTGAAGCACATAGTAGGGCAGCATTCCATCTAAATGTACTGATAAACAGACTCATTCACACACTCCGGAAACCCAGAACCAGCACCCGAGGGAGGGGAGGAAATTCTGCTGGGCACATGCCCCTTAGAAACTAGGTGAGGTAATGGAACATTGAGACATGCGCAGTGAGTCAGGGTGATGAAAAAAGAGGGGCTTGGTCTATCCTGGAACAATCGGAAAGCTAATGAGATTGGATAGAAGGGTGAAACCCCAATTGAATTTGCTGGGGGTGGGAGGTAGCCAATCCAGGCCCAGGAAAAGTTAGGAATTTGAGTTGGGTAATTTGACAATTCTTTGTCCTTTACCTGAACCTAGAAGATATATAAAGGATTAACAAAAACCTCATGGCAGTACTTTAGACCCTGGCCTCCCTCTTCATCCCCAAGGATGTATGAATTCCCTTAAATCACAGTAAAATATTGCCCTCACATTTAAACTTCTCCACGCATATGCCTTTGAAATTTTCTCGTGGTACCACAAAAATGGCAGCGGAGTGAATGGAAGCTACACAGACGATCTCCCAGGACCAAACGGGAATTACAACTAAAATAAAGACAAATCCCCAGAAAAAAAAGCAACAGAAAAGCAGCAGGACAGGACAATATAACCAGGGGCACTGGTAGGATCTGCAGAGGTGTGAGAGGGTGGCGGGCTGGGAGCCCAAGGAAAGCAGCAGTCTTAGATATGAGTAGCCCCTTGGAAAATAAAGACAAAGACAGCTCAACAGTGCAGACAGCCAAGACAGAGCACTAAAATAGCCATAGTCACTCACCTGGGGGTACAGCAGAGGGAGGGCAGACTGAGCTGGACCTCTGTAGGGACACTTGGTATTTGGAGGGCATTCAGAGTTTTTGCTGAGTGGCAGCCACAAAGGATGGTGGCCACTGTGCTCCTTCCCAGAGGTGTGGGGGAAAGCAGCAGCACCCCCTCCTCAGAGGTTCAGCCTTTCCCAGGTGAGGCAAAGAAATGCAGATTGAGTCTCATTAACAACCAGCATCTATCCCATCCTCTGGAAATCCTCTTATGCCAAACACCAGGGCTACATTCCAAGGCACTGAGTAACTGAGACTACTAGCCTCCAGGAAAAAGCTAGAGGATAACTGAACTTTTCCTGGACTTGCAAATCTACCCAGAAAAGTAAGACTCAACAGTGGTGTTTAACGTGGGCCCACCCAGGCTCATCTGAACCCAGTAAAGGGGGCCACAAACAGCAGAACACCAACACCCACAGGGAAAATTTGGCAGGCTCCAAAACCCACTGTGATAGCCAAAATGGTGAAACAAAGAAACAAATCCCAAATGAAAGAACACGAGAACTCTATCAAAGATGAGATCAATGAAATGCAGCTAAGCAAATTATCAAAGGTAGAGTTCAGAGCCATGATCTTGAGAAAGCTCAACAGCATGAGTAAGGACATCAGCACCATGAGTAAAGATATAGAAACATTGAAAACCAACCAAGTGGAAATGAAGAATGACATAGCAGAAGTAAAGAACACAGTGGAAGGACTAACCAGCAAAGTAGAGGAAGCTGCGGACCGGATCAGTGAATTAGAAGAGAGGGTAGAAAAAATCAACGAATCAGAAAACCAAAAGGAAAAACAATTAAAAAACAGAAAGACAGCTTAAGAGAACTGTGGGACAACTGGAAACATAATAACATTGGCAATATAGGAGTCCCCGAAGAGGAAGAAAATGAGCAAGGGTTAGAGAATATATTTGAAGGAATAGTGACAGAAAACTTCTCTCACTTGGTGAAGGAAGAAGGCATTCAAGTTCAAGAAGCATAGAGAGCCCCAAGTAAGAAGAACCCAAACAGGTCCACAGCAAGACACATAGTAATTAAAATGCCAAAAATTAAAGACAAAGAGAGAATCCTAAAGGCAGCAAGAGATAAGCAACAGCTTACCTACAAAGGAAACCCCATAAGGCTCTCAGCTGACTTCTCAACAGAAACACTACAGGTCAGAAGGGAGAGGCATGAAGTAATCAAGGTCATGAAAAACAAGGACCTGAATCCAAGACTACTCTATCCAGCAAGGCTATCATTCAAAATAGAAGGTCAAATAAAATAGAAGGTCAGCCCTGGCCAGTTTGGCTCAGCGGTTAGAGCGTCGGCCTGCGGTCCGAAGAGACCCGGGTTCGGTTCCCGCTAAGGGCACGTACCTCGGTTGCAGTTTGTCCCCGGCCCTGGTCGGTCGTGCAGGTGGCAACCACTCGATGTGTTCCTTTCACGTCGATGTTTCTCTCTCTCTCTCTCTGCTCCTCTCTCTCTACCTGAACAAAAAATGGAGGAGTGTCCTCGGGTGAGGATAAAAAAAAAAAAAAAAATAGAAGGTCAAATAAAGCTTTCCAGAGAATCACTTTAAATAATGGTGACATATTGTATAAATACACATTCACATTCACACACACACACACACACACCACATTCTAGGTTTTCAATGCCTTTAGTTCACACAAAATGACTTTTACATTTTAGGTGGTTAATAAGTGTTTCTTTAACATTAATTTAACATATATTTCTAAGTCCTCATAACATAAGAGATATAAGAAAAGCCCTTGTCCATAAGACAATTGTGCTTAAGTTTATGACAAAATACATTTGAATAACAGGACAACAAGGTATAGCATTAAATGGTAATTTCTGACTAATAAAGATACTGGATTGTTATTATATTATTTAATAGCTATTATTTTTTATTATTTTAATAGCAGTTATTGGATCTTGCTCTTTAATTGCACATAATAGTTGTCGCAACATTATTTGATAAGATTATCCGTATTTTATTTGAAATGAACATCCTGTGAGCTTATTTGAATCTGAGACTCAATATGTCATATGATTTAGTCTATTTAAATCCATTACCCTCTAACTATAAAACTCAGGTTTGTCCACTATACCATGATGCCTCCCTCAAAAAATAATTACCTGAGCAGGGAACACCTCTGAGAAGCTATTTAAGGTTTTTGACTAAGGAATTGAAATGATCAGAGTTGTACCTTAAACACAAATTCTGGAATGAATTGGAGCAGAAAGAGAACAGAAGCAGGGAGAGTGGCTAAGATTCTGTTAAAGTAGCTTATGCTTGACCCGCATTATCTGTCAGGCACTGAAGGTCTTTAGTAGGGGACGTCTTGTTAATATTTGCGCAACTGTTCGGCAAGGAAACATATTTTTACACTTAAAGGAATATACTTATGCAAAAATAGATTTAATCACCTAGAAAAGCATCCTGAAATGATCTTATATTTATATATCTTTTATAGTTAAGCTTTTTAGGAAAGAGTATCCTTTGAGGTCATTTCAGGTGGTTCTAAACTGCATATGCATGGGGGCTTCAGAACAGAATCTTCCTTTTTCCTCCACACCCTGTCTGCCTTTTCTCATTCTTAAAATTCCTGCTTCCGCACTTCTAACTCCCATCATTCAGCAACCAGTCTTTTAAAATTATGTGTTAATGACAAAAGAGATGATACCTCAAATCATTTAAAATGATATAAGTATCTATGATCATGCACCTGGCTAAAAGAAGAAAGATGACATTTTAGGAAGAAGAAAGAGAAGGCAAGGACTAGGAACATGTCCACAAGGAAAGCTGAAAAGCTACTTTAATGACAAAGTGAAAATACATATGTTCAATTCTTTTTTATTTATTTATTAATTTGTTTTTGTTACAGATGTTTCTCATTTTTCCCCCATTGACACCTTTCTTCCCTCCCCACCCCCATCCCATCCCCAGCTTTGTTGTCTATGTTCATTGGCCATGCATACATGCAAGTTCTGTGGTTTGTTTCTCCCCCCAAACCCCCTCCGCTGAGGCTTGTCAGTCTGTGCCCCACCTCTATGTCTGTGGGTTAACTTTGTTCAGCAGTTTGTTTAGTTCATTCTATTCCACAAATAAGTGAGATCACGTGGTATTTGTCTTTCTCTGCTTTGCTCCAGGTCCCTCCATGCCATCTCAAAGGATAAGAGATCTTTTTCTCTTACAGCTGCGTGATATTTGTCTTTCTCTGCTTTGCTTGTTTTGCTTAGCATAATACTCCCCAGGTCCCTCCATGCTATCTCAAAGGATAAAAGATCTTTCTTTCTTACAGCTGTATAGTATTCCATTGTGTACATGTACCACAGCTTTTTATGCACTCATCTACTGATGGACACTTGGGTTGTTTCCAGATCTTAGCTATTATAAATAGTGCTGCTATGAACACAGGGGTACATATATATTTTTTCTGATTGGTGTTTCAGGTTTCTTAGGGTATATTCCTAGAAGTGGGATCACTGGGTCAAATGGCAGTTCAATTTTTAACTTTTTGAGGTAACACCATATTGTTTTCCACAATGGCTGCATCAGTCTGCATTCCTACCAGCAGTGTACTAGAGTCCCCTTTTCTCCACACCCTCACCAACACTTGTTGTTTGATGGTTTGTTGATGGTGGCCATTCTGACAGGTGTGAGGTGATACCTCATTGTTGTTTTAATTTGCATTTCTCTGCTGGTTAGTGATGTTGAGCATTTCTTCATACGTCTCTTGGCCATTTGAATGTCCTTTTGAAGAGGTACATATGTTTAATTCTTACAAAAAAATATAAAATGGACATTATTGTTTCTGGAAGTATTTGAGGGGTGCTCACCCCTCCCCCACAGAGGCCTTGTGCCCAGGAAGCTGAGAACAACCCCACCTTGAGGCTGAGACCAGTGATCCAGGACTGAACCAATCAACATAATATCAGGTTGGAGCCCAGTGAGGAGTTCGTGGATTAAACACCTAGGTTATGGTGTCCAATCAGGTGGAAGTAGAGGGCATTTGAAACATGAATAAAAAAAAAAAATCACACATGGATTTTAGAAACCTAAAATCATTTATTATTTATTTATTAATCCATTGACAATTTTAGTATCTGTTCACTGTTTGACAATGTACTGAGTGCTAAACACTGTTGGAATAGGATCCTGAGGCAAATAAACAGATTAAAGCTGGCCCTGAGGGGAATTACAAAAGGTTTTACATGGCTCCAATATTGTAATTTCTTTTGACTTAGCTGCAGTGGGTCAATTATTAGAGGGGGTGTCTACTCTAAGAAAATAAATCAGCCCTGGCCAGTTTGGCTCAGCGGTTAGAGCGTTGGCCTGCGGTCTGGAGAGACCCGGCTTCGGTTCCCGCTAAGGGCATGTACCTTGGTTGCAGTTTGTCCCCGGCCCTGGTTGGGTTGTGTGGGTGGCGACCACTTGATGTGTCCCTTTCACATCGATGTTTCTCTCTCTCTCTCTCCCTCCCACTCTATCTGAACAAAATATCAAAAAATGTC